AGCCCCGATGGGTTTCCAACGCATCGCGCCCCTGTGCGTCTCGTTGAGACCTTTCTAGAAAGTGCTCGCCCGCTGATAATGGACACTCCTAGTAAAAGTTATGCCCAAAACAGCGTAAACACCACACTAAAAGGTTAACGATGTGGGCAAACAAGCCCAAGACCGATAGGGTGTGTCTTCGACCCGTGTATTACCATTTCGCCCACTAAAATCGCGCATGATGGGATCGATCATACAAGCACTAATGCACCGGATCCCATCAGTACTCTTAAGTTAAGTTTGTTGCTTAAACTATGAGCAATACCGGCCAATTAGGAATAAGAACATCATGCGCGCAACACTTGATGGGTGCGATCATACTAGCATTAATGCACCGGATCCCATCAGAACTCTGATGTTAAGCGTGCTTGGGCGAGAGTAGTACTAGGATGGGTGACCCCCTTTCCCTGGGAATTGAAATCCTCGTTTTGCACTCCTTTTTGTTCTTTTCATCATTTTTTGCAAGTTATGTCCTTAATTCTTTTAAAAACTATCTAGCGAGCACAAAGGGTTGCGTGAACTTCCAAAGTGCGTCGGGAAGCCGCACTAAACAAGGGTGGCCGAAACCCAAAATGAACAGAAGTCAAAACGGGCATAGGAATGAGAAATAAATGGGCTAAACATAAAATAGACCATAGGCCCAGAAACAAGCGAAATTCAGGTCAAAGCTGAGCCCCGATGGGTCTCCGACGCATCGCGCTCCTGTGCGTCTCGTTGAGACCTTTCCGGAAAGTGCTCACACACTGAAAACTAACACTCCTAGCAAAAGTTATGCCCAAAACAGCGTAATCACCACGCTAAAAGGTTAACGATGAGGGCAAACAAGCCCAAGACCGATAGGGTGTGTCTTTGACCCCGTGCATTAACATTTCACCCACTAAAATTGCGCATGATGGGATCGATCATACAAGCACTAATGCACCGGATTCCATCTGTACTCTTAAGCTATGTTTGTTGCTTAAACTATGATCAATACCGGCGGACTAGGAATAAGAAAATCATGCACGCAACACATGATGGGTGCGATCATACCAGCACTAATGCACCAGATCCCATCAAAACTCCAAAGATAAGCGTGCTTGGGCGAGAGTAGTACTAGGATGCTGGGATGTCCTCGTGTTTTACCCCTTTTTGTTGTTTTCATCATTTTTTGCAAGTTATGTGCTTGATTCTTTTAAAGATTGTCTAGCGAGCACAAAGGGTTGCGTGAACTTCCAAAGTGCGTCGGGAAGCCACACAAAACAAGGTTGGCCGAAACCCAAAACAAACAGAAGTCAAAACGGGACTAGGAATGAGAAATAAATGGGCTGAACATAAAATAGGCCACATGCCCGGAAATTAGCAAAATTGAGGTCAAAACTGAGTCCCGATGGGTCTCCCACTCATCGCGCCCATGTGCGTAGTACTAGGATGGGTGACCCGCTGGGAATTGAAATCCTCGTTTTGCACTCCTTTTTGTTCTTTTCATCATTTTTTGCAAGTTATGTGCTTAATTCTTTTAAAAACTGTCTAGCGAGCACAAAGGGTTGTGTGAACTTCCAAAGTGCGTCGGGAAGCCACACAAAACAAGGGTGGCCGAAACCCAAAATGAACAAAAGTCAAAACGTGCATAGGAATGAGAAATAAATGGGCTGAACATAAAATAGACCATAGGCCCAGAAACAAGCGAAATTGAGGTCAAAGCTGAGCCCCGATGGGTCTCCGACGCATCGCGCCCCTGTGCGTCTCGTTGAGACCTTTCCGCAAAGTGCTCACACACTGAAAACTAACACTCCTAGAAAAAGTTATGCCCAAAACAGCGTAATCACCATTCTAAAAGGTTAACGATGAGGGCAAACAAGCCCAAGACCGATAGGGTGTGTCTTTGACCCCGTGCATTAACATTTCACCCACTTAAATTGCGCATGATGGGATTGATCATACAAGCCCTAATGCACCGGATTCCATCTGTACTCTTAAGTTAAGTTTGTTGCTTAAACTATGAGCAATACTGGCGGATTAGGAATAAGAAAATCATGCGCGCAACACATGATGGGTGCGATCATACCAGCACTAATGCACCAGATCCCATTAGAACTCCAAAGATAAGCGTGCTTGGGCGAGAGTAGTACTAGGATGCTGGGATGTCCTCGTGTTTTACCCCTTTTTGTTGTTTTCATCATTTTTTTTGCAAGTTATGTGCTTGATTCTTTTAAAAACTGTCTAGCGAGCACAAAGGGTTGCGTGAACTTCCAAAGTGCGTCGGGAAGCCACACAAAACAAGGTTGGCCGAAACCCAAAACAAACAGAAGTCAAAACGGGCCTAGTAACGAGAAATAAATGGGCTGAACATAAAATAGGCCACAGGCCCGGAAATTAGCAAAATTGAGGTCAAAACTGAGTCCCAATGGGTCTCCGACTCATCGCGCCCATGTGCGTAGTACTAGGATGGGTGACCCGCTGGGAATTGAAATCCTCATTTTGCACTCCTTTTTGTTCTTTTCATCATTTTTTGCAAGTTATGTGCTTAATTCTTTTAAAAACTGTCTAGCGAGCACAAAGGGTTGCGTGAACTTCCAAAGTGCGTCGGGAAGCCACACAAAACAAGGGTCTAGGAATGAGAAATAAATGGGCTGAACATAAAATAGGCCATAGGCCTAGAAACGAGCGAAATTGAGGTCAAAGCTGAGCCCCGATGGGTCTCTGACGCATCGCGCCCATGTGCGTCTTGTTGAGACCTTTCCGGAAAGTGCTCACACACTGAATTCCTAAACAAGCACAAGAAGACAAACAGAGTAAAGTGCTACAGTTCAGAATTCTTGAACAACAGCTAGAAGACGGATTCTGAGAAAAATGGAATCACTTCTCAAACAATTGGGTATGTCCAAACACCCACTTCAACGAAGAATCTTCAAATCACAATCTTCATTCAAAATTGAAGCCAGCAAATGCAACGGATAGTCTATTATGATTCAACGGATAGATTATCCAATCCAGCTATAAATAGAATCCTTGGAAGACTGGAGAATATAGGAATGATAATGAGATACGTTGATACAACAACACAACAAAGAAAACTTCCAAGCTATCTCATTCACAGTTAGCCCAAAAAGCTTGATAAAGAGAGATTTCTAAACTCCTTATCCAGAAGCAAACTCCTCCTCCTTCCAAAGAGCTATAGTGCAAACACTTGAAGGTTTCCTTGCCTCAAGTACCACACCACGTTGAAGGATACAACTTTTTGATCAAACTTCTTGATTAAAAAGGGGGTAGGTCAACTTTCTTACAAGTTGATCTTGCAAGTCCTATTGTTCGGATCTTGCAGTTGTTGAAGAAGCGTGACCTTCGAAGGAACAACAAAGCCA